GGCAGACTTCTTAGGAGAGGGAAGGGGTTTGAAAACTACAACAGAGGAAAGGTAGATAAAAGTGCATCATTAAATCAGGGGTGTCCAAGCTTGGGTGATTTTAAGACTTGTGGACTTCAACTCCCAGAATTCCCCAGTCAGCCACGGGAAGCGGCGTAACCAATGCGCGACACGAAGCTGTACAATGCCTTCCTAGCCATGGCTACCTCCTTGAGTAGGAGCCACAGGTTCAGGGAGACCTCCAAACTGTGTATGGGACCGGCAGGGTAAGCACATCAGGAACAAGTGATGGAAAGTCCCCAGAACAAGAGGATCCTAAAATCCAAAGTCACTTGGTCTCTCTCTAGGGTTGAGCCAAAAAGCCTCTTGCTCTCCATCAAGTCTCCCACAGCCTCCCGACATCAGTAAGACCTCCACAGCATTGTTCAGATGGCCCAGGGTGGAGATATATAGCTGGGTATCGTCTGCACACTTATGATATACCTCATCCCAAATAAAGGGGTGATCTCACCCAGAGGCTTCATGCAGATATTAAAGAGGAGAGGAAAAAGCACAGAACCCCATGTAGTGGGAGCTGTAGTCTGGGTGTCTCCTCTCCTATCCACATAAACTGGAACCAGCCCTGGAGGGGGAAGGAAAGACAGAAAACTACCATACTGTCCATCCCACTTCTCGAAGCTGGTCCAGAAGACTATCATGACTGATTTTACTTCCAGTGGCATTGTGAGATTTATCCCTTATCTTGACCAAAGGCATTACAAAATACTTATTTCAAAGCTCAGTTATGCTCAAAACAATCCCTATCAAGATTCAGCTCCTTTGTCTGGTGTTCTAAGGGCTCCAGCCAAGACATTTTAAGAAGGGGGTCATGCTCTTAAAGAGGAGCAACAGCTGAAGGAACTGACAGTATCAACTCCCCTCCCTTCCACAACTCACTCTATCCCACAGGCATAATTGTTAAACCAGATCCCTTACTTTCCGCAGCCTCCGGTGTACAGCCATAACACGAGAGCTACAGTCCAACACATCTGGAAGACATCAGAGGAAGGAAAGCAGCCCTAATAAAGCAGCCTCTTTAAAAAAGATTTCTTCCTCAAATCTGATTCCCTCTGGACATTGCAATCTGCAGCAACTGTCAGCCCAAGGCCACAAGATCAGTGTTCCGACCCGGGATGGAAATGGCTCCTAAAGCCTTATGATTTTTGGCTCTATTTGATTAATTAGTCACACACACACACCCTACTGCTATTTTTATTTGGAAACATGTATGCTAGCACCATTCTTTTTGGTCTAGTTATCATTCAATCGGGCACTGGCCATTTACCCACAAGCCCTCTTTAAGCCCCTTCAGCATCAGGCTATGTGATAGCTTCAACTCAAATAATTTGATCTGTAAATTCAAATCGATTTTCCAAAGTAATCTGATTTGAAAATCCAATGCATAAAATTGATTTGATTATTCAAACTGAATCCAAGCTGATTAAAATAGCCTTCAAAAAAAAAAAAAAGGAAACAAAATTAATTTACAAGTAACCTTTTTAAAACCTTTACAGCCAGGGACTTTCTCACTATTATCTTTTTAAGCTTTTTAATTTTTGAATTTTAAAAACAGGACAACAAATGCACAGCAGAATTGAAAGTAATTAATAATTGCTGATAATACAGCAGCACATAATACAGTGGGAACAAAGTTGAAGATCGGCGACTGTTTGAAATTACGGCAGCAATGAGTGAATGTTACTGCCCAGTCCCCAAAGTTATGTCCGTTCCAGTGCCCCTGCTGTTGTTATGTGATCAAGATTCAGGGGCTTTGCAGACCACCAACAATGAATAACTGCAAGGGTGCTTTTCAGCTCCTCCCTACATATTCTCTTGCCTCCATCTCTGTCCTTTTGGACATCCTGCCCTCCACTCTGGGCTCTGCTAACCCTTGGCTCCATTTGGCTGCCAGCCTGCATTCCCCTCACCCTGCCAGCTCTACTGGTCCCAGCTGGCCTTCCCCATCTTCTTCTATCTACTGTTGACAAGGCGCATCTGGCCTGGCCTTTCATGATGTAGCTGCTGGCCTCACTAGGCTTTCTTCCCAAGGCCACATGCAGCCTTGTCCAAATCTCAGCTGGCTTTCTTCCCAGATGGTGGACTGCTGGGTGGTCCAAAACGGCAGAGACAGAGGGGAGAGATAGGCATGTGAGGGAACCTATCAGAGAGAGGCTCAGATAGGCCCTATAGGAGAAGGCAGAGGAGGCAGTCCCTTCGGTTACTGAGGCTGGGGGATGGGAGGGACAAAGACAGGAGTGTCTTGGATTGGGGTGGATCCTTGCCTAACAACCATAGGGATTCTATTAACCATAGGAACTGCTGGGATTCTCATTGCTGAACGATGAGGTCACATGCTGTTGTACTTTATGACTGTTCAGTTAATGACAGAAATTTAGATCCCAATTACTATTGTAACAAAAAGAATACCTGTACCTTTTTTTTGGCACTGAACCATCCAAAGGAGGCGAGTCATTGAGTAACTAGGGTTTAACCATTCACGAAACTTTTTTCTCATCAAAGATTGGGGGGGGGGGGAAGGATACAGAGAAACATTCTTTGGGGGGGAGGGGAGCTTTGAAAATGATCTCAGGTGCCCTAAGCACAGTGTCTCCAACCTTTCTGGCTTTGCAAACTGACAGGTGGGTAGGTGGGAGACAGAAAATGGTTCATTGAGTGGTAGTCACTCACTCTTGGGCGCACAGCTCCATTTGCTCAGGTTAAGCTCCATTTCTGTCCGCGACAGTGCCATGCGCAAATGGAGCTGTACATGTGCGCTCACCTGCTGTTTGCGTGGCCCAGTTCCGAACAAACCACAGCCCAGTACCAGGTCGTAGTGCGAGGGTTGGGAACTCCTACCTAAACAAAGAGGTTAGTGAAGGCAATCCTTCGGGTACCAGACCTTAAGAGGCGATGAAGTCTCTACTCGGAGCCTGAGAGGAATCATTGGCAGCTATCTCAGCTTGTCCAGCCACCCCTACACAAGAGGAGCTCTCTTGGAGCTTCTGGTGTTGGTCAGGTGGGCTTACAAAATTACAAAAGGAAGTGGGGTCAGGCTATGCTGTGGGATTAAATCTAATGCAAAGTGTGGAAAATAAATAAGGGAACAAAATTCAAAAGCCTGCAGACTCTATTTCTGATTGTCTTCATGGCTTATAGTCGTGTTCCTCAACCTCAGCAAGTTTAAGTGTGTGNGTTAAATATAAGATGACAGTATACTATACACCCAGAGGTACCATTGTTTTTCTGTATACAATGAGAAATTAATGAAATTTAATGAAATTAAGAATTCTCTGGTTGATGGCTCTGGCCTTCAGGCCACTATAGAGGTAATCTTTGTTTAGCGACTACAACTGGGACCAACAGGGTCATTAAGGGAAGTACTTACTAAGTGAAACCGTGACGGTGCTTACAATCTTATCTAAGCTTTCCTTTACTTACAGACCTGCAAAGGTTGTAAACGTGAGGATGGATCACAAAATTACTTTTTCATTGTCGTCATAACTGTGAACGATTACAGTATAGATAAATATTGACTTACACAACCAGTCGCTTAGCAACCATTTGGAGTTACTATAGACCCCAAAATAAAATTATAACCTGGATTTGAAGTTCTGATGGCCATCCCCCATAACCACCAACCAGCATGACGTATGACCATAATTTGGGGTGCTCAGCAACTGTCCTGCGTTTACAGCCATTTGTAGCATCCTGCAGTCACGTGACCATGATTTACAATAAGTGCTTACTTTCAGATTCAAGCAAAAAAACCCACTCAGACAAGGAGTTTGTTTACTGACTACAGCATTCTCTTAATGACCACTGATTTGATTTACTAGCATGGTGATCTGCTTAACTACCACAAAAAATGTCATAAAATTGGGTCGGTCAAATGATGACCTGCTTAACCACCAGCATGACGTATGACCATAATTCTGGGCTCAATTATAGTTATAAGTTGAGGACAACCTGTACAAGGCAGTCATTAAGTGTGTTATCACTTCTACACAAATAGTTAAAGATGATTCCAACACATGCAAATTAAATATGGTGAATTCAAAGGAAAATATCTCTCCTTTCCCATGACCAACGTATGACTGACAGTTTTGCTCAATATTTGAATCAATATTCTTCCCATCATCCAAAGGAATGTGGTTCTACCTTATGAAATACACAGCCTATGTTGTGGCCCACCAGCAGAGCTGGCAGCAGATTCGGACAGTGAGGAGGTTGGGGAGGAACATGGCCCAGTCCTGGAGTCTGGGGAAGGCTCCGAGTTGTAGGCAGAGAGGGGGCCAGAGCTGTATGCCAGTTATCAGCTTCCTTCAGAGTCAGACATCAGTGAGGCAGATGAACAGCTGAAGCCTATTCCCAGTGTGCGCATGCACAGAGTTGGCAGACGAAGCGAACCGCTAAAGAGCAGGGGTCAATTTAGGAGTAAGGCCACAGGCAGAAGATGAATGGCCCTCCCAGAGGAAATAAAAGAGGAGCGAAAGGGGAGTGGAGTTTGCAGGAGACAATTTAGTTTGCTTAATTGGTTCGTGACTCTCCAAGACTCCTTGCTAAGTTCTGCAGATATTGGCCTGGCAGCTCTCCAAGCCAGAGAAGGTCTGTGACTGTAAATCCTCCCTTGAAAGACTTTGCTGGAGGTGGATGAGCAGAATTCACAGTTAAATTAATAAAAGGGTTTTTTGTCGGGACAAGGAGTTTGCTTCCTGCTCTTGGGAAGCCTAGGTCAGAATAGGCTAAAACACACAGGGACTAGAATCTTATAAGAATCTTGTTATACTAAAGAAGAATCACCTGGAGACGAGAGGTGTAGATTTGGATAACACAGAGGATAATGTCACCTAGATGAAGGCCCAGAGCACTTACCAGTTGCAGTCTGGGCCAGCTTCTCCTTAGTTTTGAGGGCGTGGGCCCGCTCTTCTTTGAGACGCTCATCGTCTTTAAGGAGGGCCACNTGGGGCCATGCTTGCTCTGCTTCTACTGGGGCATTTGCCAAAGACGATGAAGCAGAAGAAGCTGAAAAAAAGAACATGACAGGAGATAGTTGGTTCAGAATGAAGATCTTTCCAATCTCAGTTCAAAGACCAAAACAATCTGTAGGTGATGTTGCAGGTAGACACAGAAAAGAGATGACAGATGATAGGTATTTCTCCTGAACAACTGCAAGTAATACACAGCCTTATTTGTGATTGCCTTTAGAATGCAGTATTGCAGGCTAATTCTGCCGACTGCCAGGGGTTCGATCCTGACCGGCTAAAGGTTGACTCAGCCTTCCATCCTTCCAAGGTCAGTAAAATGAGGACCCAGTTTGTTGGGGGCAATATGATGACTCTGTAAACCACTCAGAGAGGGCTGTAAAGCACTCTGAAGTGGTACATAAGTCTAAGTGCTATTGATATTGTGTTAACTTTCATGAAATACCACATTTTCATTTATAATCTGTTCATTACATTTCTCCAACAGCTGCAGAGCCTCAAGTGCAGGTTAGCAAGGTGATCTGAAGGCCAAAAAAAAAATCACCTGAAATTGATAAGCACTAATCAAAGCAACCAAGGAGTAAAAATTGCAGCAGTAGCTAAAAGCCTGACCACACTTCAAGGCTAAGCAAATCCCAGTGTGTGTTGTGCAGCATGTCTGTTTCCTAAGTTTTGAATTCCATCTGGATCCAGTGAAAACAAGATCCTGCATCACTAGGCTTCAAGCTGCCTGTCCCTGGAGAGTGCTGGACAGACTTAAAGACTCTGGTTCGCATTTTTGTTCAGCCATTAAGCTTACTATAAACAGTCATATTTTCTGGATTATCTATCTGGGGCTTTCTGGAATGACAAAGTAGGGCAAAGATATTTTTTTTTTCATTTAGTTTTGCTGCTATTAAAAAAAACACCCCATAAAAACATTAAGCTAAATGGACAGTCCAGACTAAAATAATCCTACAGCCAACAGAAACCAAACAAGGCAATGATCCTAGACAAGTAATGATATATCAACCACAGTCTTGGGACCAAAGCCAGATTTTTGGAGCTTTCTGGAACCCCAGGAGAGAGGGAGCCATCCTGATCTCTGGAGGGATGCTGTTCCAGAAGAGGAGAAAGCATATTTTCTTGGTCTCACAAAGGACAATATTTAATGGAAGGGACCTGGAGTGCACCCACTCTGTCAGAATGTATTTTGTGTGCTGAAACGATTGGAAACAAGCCATTCAGATATCCAGGCCTGTGAGCCAACGGGACTTCATAGGTAACTAGTCAATAACCTGATGTTGCCCAGGTATTTATTTAAGGGAGGGAAATGTCCGGACCAAACGTAATTTCTAATGTTGGATTTCCCCCCCTTAGCAGAGTGAGCCCCCTTGTGGAGTACTGTGAAGCTGCTACCATGGCAACTCCATTGCACTGCACAGTAGAAGCCATTTTACGGCAGTACAGTAGAAGCCATTTTAAGGCACAACAGGCTGTATCTTAACAGAACACACATCCGAGGGGTTTTAGGTGTGTCTTTTCCCCATAGTATTTGTTTCCAGAGAGTAAGTCATCTGTGTACTAAGTTTGGTTGTAATTGCTCAAGGCTTTCCAAAGTTATGCTGGAACATACACACCCACAGCCGTTTATATATATATAGAAGATAGGAATAGAAATAGATAGATAGAAAAAGAAGATTGATTTCCATTTTGGCTCTAGGAAACAATATGTCAAATTTAAGTTTCACAATAATCACCATATGAAAATTCAGGTTTCTGTCAAACATTCCTATGGGCTAGGAACTGCTTTTTGAAAGGGAGAAGGGAGTGGAGGAGGTGAAACTGAAAAGAAAACTGGTGGGAAAGGACCTGGCAGAGGGCTCTTATTGGTCTCCTCTGTGCCTAGATTAATAGATACATAAATAAGATACTCAATACCTTGAATTGCACTTCTGAAACCAACTGGGGTAGATTCCTGATGGCCTTCAAGGGCAACCCCATGTATAGGTAGTCCTTATTTTACAACTGTTCAACGTTACAACAGTCATAGAACAGGTGCTTTACAGCCTGTAAAACATCCCCAGCCAACATAAATTGTTGTGCCGCCACCTCCCTCTGCAGTCACATGATCACATGTTGGTTAAGTGAGCTCTACAATTGGATGCAGCATCCCACAATCATGTGACTATAGTTTGCAATGCTTTTTCACTGATTTGGGCAAACAATGCCAAGTCCAATGTATGGTTTTGCTGAAAGGCCCTCATGGAAAAAGCCAGTAAAATATTTTTGGCCTTGACATATGACAGCAGCGACATAATACTGTAATACTGGGATCAACTGCAATTATAAAGTCTAGAGGACATTGCGACAATCCAATTATGACATGAACAGCCCAGGACATTTAATAACTGCCTGAAGTGCCTCAAGGTGAATGAGAGAACTCAAACTTTCAAATTATATGTAGGCAGAAGATTATTTGCCTGATGGAAATGATTTTGTCAGCCAAAAATTGGGTGTTCTTAAACCAAGTGATGTGATTTGACAAAATGTACATGGCACATTGAGAACAGAGTTGGCATGTCTCCCAGATGGGTTCCTTCAAAAGGAAATGAGGTGATTATTTCTAAACTGCTCTTTATTGCATTTTAAAGCACTATTTCAGACACAGTGCTGATCAACAGCATGAAAATGTCCACTAATTAGCTCTAGCTTATACACAGAAAGCCAGTGGGCTCTACAATTATTTTATTTTAATAAAAAATAGGGAAATATGTAAATACAGTGTTTCTCAACCTTGGCGACTTTAAGTCCTGTGGACCTCAACTTCAACAGTTAGTTGAAGTCCACAGTCGCCAAGACTGAGAAACACAGATGTAATAGAACAGAAAAGCTGGAACTTGAATAGATATTTATATATATTTCCCCTCCTGAAATTACAGGTAGGCCTTGACTAACCACCACAATTGAGACTCAAATTTAGGCAAAGTAGTCGTGAGTTTTACCCCATTTTTTTAATGTCCTTTCTTGCCACAATTGATAAGTGAATCACTGCAGTTGTTAAGTTAGTAACATGGCTGTTAAGTGAATCTGGCTTCCCCATTGACTTTGCTTGTCAGAAGGTTGCAAAAGGTACATGACCTCAGGAAGCGGCACCCATCGTAAATATGAATTGTGATCATGTGACCACAGGGATGCTGGAATGGTCGTAGGTGTGAAAAACGGTCATAAGTCATTTTTTTCAGTGCCACTGTAACTTTGAATGGTCACTAAATGAACGGTTGTAAGTCAAGGACTACCTGTTCCAAGAATGTTTTTATTTTAAAAAAAACCAACTGACTAGTCTAATTAACTTTAAAACAGTGAATGTAGTTCCATAGTGCAAGGCCAAAGAAAGATAAGCCACCTTATAAAGTTGCTCTCCAGAAATCCAAACAGGCACACTTTTTGCAAAATTGGCTAAAAGCCCAGCTTACATTATCAACCAAAGGCAGAGCAGAGAGCTAGCAATAGGACGTTAATCAGAAATGGAGCCGCGGAAGGTCAAACGCTAAGTCCAAAATAGTTTTAATTATCTCAGTACTTCCAATTAAAAAAAAATAGAACTCCTATCTGCCCCCTACTTCTATAATATACTGTTAGAGAAGGAAGCCTTCTCAGGAATTGTCATTTCCTCATCCAAGTTACATTGCTGTTAGCCAAGGTAATTTATCCAAATCTCAAATTGAACAGCTTTTGGTGACCAGGGGCCACACCCTACATGTATGAGCAAAAGGTGGTAGTAAATACGGTGTATTAACAGGCTGTTACTTATCCTGACCTATCCCAAAGGTGCTTTTTCAAGAGGCAACTGGGCTTTCTTGCTTTTCTTTGAAGAGTTTCGTTTCTCATCCAAAATGCTTCTTCAGCTCTAGCTGGTTGGTGGGGAATGGAAGGATTTATACTCTTTGCAGACAGCATAAATCCTTCCATTCCTCACCATCCAGTCAGAGCTGAAGAAGCTTCTTCTCAACATCCAAGAAGCTCATCTATAAAACGTCTTCAAGGAAAAACCAGAACGTCCAATTGCCTCTTGAAAAAGCACCCTTGCAACAACCATGATCCGGATGTCTGAGAATCTCCATAGACACTTATCCTGATCTAATTCACATATATTGTTACGCCAGAAACTATAATTTATAAGACAGAATGTTTGGCGTCTGACAATTCAGCAAGCTAAAAGCAAACAAACTTTAGGACTTAGCAATCAGAGGATCACAAACTTTGCCATAGTGTGATCCTCTGAAATAATAAATCAGTTATTCACCCCTCCCTCCCCCAAAAAAACCCTGGCCATGTTTCAAAAAGTTCTGAAACCCTGGCTCTTTCTCCAGGCCCCACATTAGAGTAGGCCTCACATTTGATCGCCTTTTAATCATTGCTTTTCTTCAGAGCTTTGTGTGAGGATTTTGTTCCTATTGTTTATCTGATTTGTCCAACTGTTTTTACTGTATGCCACCCAGAATGCTTATAGAGTTGGGAAGCGTTATACAGTCCATTTCTAAAATTAAAAAATAAAGAAATAAAATGCATTTCCTGAAGCAAATTTGTTTTTTTTAAAATAATAATACCAATCACATACTTTTAATAATTATATTTTAAATTGTGTAACAAATGAGGCAGTTACAGAATCTTTGCACAAACTTTTTCCAAATGATTTTGTTGGCTCCACATTCCCAGCAGTATTTTTGATAAAACCAGTGAGTTGTTCTCTAGTAATAAAAAAAGTACTGTGGAAACAAAAGATATGTAACTTCCATCATACTTTCTCAATTCAACCTAAATTTTGTTAGCACAAAAGCTTTTTTGCTTATTAGCTAATAAAAAAGTTTCCATTTTGAAAGATAGGAGTCTAAAAAAAATACTGAACTTCACTAGCACATAACTACAGCCCAAGCCATCAGAGATTAAGAGAAGCATTTCCAAAAATGTGAAATTCACTAATGTAGTCAGTGGATCCTCAGTACCTTATAATTGTTTGCCAATAATCAATAATTCATTGTTATGCACTGCCAAAATGAG